TCGCTTGCGATGAGATAGGTCGAATTGTCTACTCAGCGCCCTTGTCCTCCCTTACCTGTTTCTTTTCCTCCATACGCTTCTCATACACAGACACGCTGCCTATCAGCAACAAAGAAAAAAGACTTAACTCTCAAGACTTGGTAGCCCTTTAGTCCTCAGAAAAATTCTGCTTTTGCCCATCTCCTCTCTGCATCCATCTGGCCAACCATTTATCTTTCCACGTCGATACGTTCCATTCTTGCATGAGTGATGATGTTGAGGTGTCTTTTCTAATCAAGCAAGTTTGTGTCCTCGGACCTCAGTTTGACTTTGGATGAGGAGCACAAACTGTACTACAACTACCAGGTCAGTGTTCACAAAGCATCGCCGGATGGCATAACTCGTGAGGCATTCGAGAAATCCATTGTTGAGTCCACTCTTGTGGTAGGTCCAGCTCTGCGAGTCGCTTTGCAGCACATCAAACAAATCCTTCGTACTAACAACTCTGTGCTTTTACCTGTCTCCAGAATGCACACGATGCGGCAGCGGAAGCTGGCGGCGCCCCACGATCCGGCTCCTATCATCAACAGTGCTGTCGGAGTGGTGGATCTACTTCCCGGTTACCTTTCTTCTGTCTACTTCTTCTTCGACCCTCAATACACATGCCTCAATTTAGGCACCTACTCTGCTCTTAGGTTCGTTTAAGTCCACCTCGAAATGCCTCATTGAAGAGGCAATTATGTTACTCACCAGCACAGTTAAAGGTGGCTTTTGTTGTAGAGAAACTGCCTTTGTTCGGCACCATCATCGGACCTTCGGAGCAATGGTGCCCGCCTATGCCGACTTTACGTATTACTCCATGGGGCACCATGCCCACTCCTGTACCAAGATGAAATATAAAGCTGAATATTCACTCTTTTGGCTCGCCCGCCCTAAGATATGTAGATGAGAAGCGCTTACCACAATTTTACCGCTGTGGTTGCCTCTGTGGCACCGAGGACTACTTGATGTTAGGCTAGCATTTTGTTGCAGCCCAGTCACTGCATCTGAGGCCTGGGTGTGTGTCTACGTGTTTTGGGTGCTTTCTGTTGCCATTATTCACAGTAACCGATTGTCCTTCATACTTGAGTAGTAGTATCAGTGGACAGGCATCCACACCACTGCCTCTGCTTCCCCAGTCCAGTCACTAGTGTCTCTTACCTCCGTCTGGAAGATGTCTTTCAGATGTGAATGTCGGTAGCAACCGTGCTCCACCCCACTGCAGCCGAAGCGCTACAAGTGCCGCACCAAACCTCCAGCCAACACGAGTTCAAGGCGATGCTAGCAGAAGACGATGTTTTACGGTTCACATTGCCACGTTTCTTTAACACTGCTGCCAACATGCTGTCGTGGCTATTCAATCTCTATTCCTTCGGGCCAAAGTCCAGCGGAAGAGCGCAGATGATTGGTGAGGCATTAAAGGTCAGCACAAGTGAAGGCGCAACAATAGGCACAACTGCCCATACCTTGTCCATGTTTCCGCGGCAACAACAACGCCAACTACAGTTGAAGCCCCAATGGGACGCCAGTTTTCTACGGTGAAGACACCAATTCCGTACTGTCTGATGGACAAATGAAGATGGCCACTTGACCCATGTCTTATGAAGTTTTGATGTGTGCTGCGTGGGATGGACGTTGGGGGAGGTATGACTGTACTGTATGACTGTATGACTTCTGCGCCTTCTTGCTCCACTACCAATCATGGCGACAACCATGATGAAGTGGCAGTAGCAACAACCCTACTTGTCGCCACCTTGATGCCAATTCCCACAGTGTTGCAACCTCGTACAGGTTCTCTTCGCCCACCCACATACCCACCACCATCGTGGTGGTAAATCTCATCGTCACATTCAAAGGCGCCGGTCATGCGTGAATTGGCATCAACGACTGTTCTTCTCTCCCCTTCCTCTGTGCCTGGTGCTACACCAACCTCAAGATTTTGATGTAGGCCGGAACTGTCTTCTTTGGAATGGATCCTCTGGAGTACATTTGTGATCCTGGGGCCTGTCTGTCCTGTTGTTTCCTTGAAAGCCTCTTTGGAATTAACCATGTCGCAGAGCTTGCCACAATATTCATAAGTTCAACTGACACACCTTTAAAATGCTCCTAATTTTGATCGGAACCGTTCAAAAGTGTCGCCAACAGGGTGTTTGTTATGACGTACCTCCTTTTCAAACAAGATAATTTCCCACTCACGAAATGAGAGGCGCCTGTACAATCACACTTCTTCCACGTCTTCCACTCTTTCATTATGCATTCACAAGTTGCGACAGCAGTGTTTTGGGTCAGATCGAATGCGTGGCGTCCCACTGCCTCTGGAACTCGGGGAGGGAGGGTTAGCTATGTGTAAGATCGGAGTACAGTAGTGGTTGATCAACCTTGACCTTCGAGTGGTTATCAAGTGTAGTTAGTTGAATGTCACCTCAGCTCAAGACTGTTTCCACACTGAATCATCCTCATTTCGTCCTTCCCCAAGCAACCGCATGACTCTTCCCTCTCCTACCAGTCAAATTTGTTTGGGCTGAATCTCATGAGGAAATTGGCCAAAGTGAGTTCCACAACCACAGAAGGTAGTCAAAACTGCTAAAGTTATTCAAATAGCTTTAAAATTGATGCATTGTAAGTAGACTTGGGAAGTGGCTCTTACACACTTGTCAGCATCAACGACATTCGCCTCTCTGGATCTGGATGTTGTCATGAGTGTTGTGCAGCCTCTCATCTTCCTTAACCGTGCAGCAGCCGTTCCTCTTATGGCAGGAGTCTATAAGTTGTTCATATTGCCAGTCCGAATGGAGAAGAAGATGGGTGGCTTGGCCATTTTATCCAAATGTCTAACGTTTTCTTAGATGTTTGGCACTGGTCGTGTAAACTTTCCGTGCCTTGTAGAGAGTTACAAGGGGTAGGAGTATGCGAAGGCGGTTGGGTGGTTGGGTAACGGTGGCGAAGCAATAAGTAGGATGTCGTGATAACAACTTCCGTCAGTTCATTCCTGGCGCCCAAATGGCTTAGCTACTACTGATCAGTCTTGTTGCCAATTTAGTTTCAAGTGAAAGGGGAAAATGAGAAACGCATTCAGTGGAGTTGGCTAGCTAGTGGCTAGAAGATGCCTTCTCCCCGATTTTCTTGTGTTAGGAGGACTTTGAACTCAAGAAAAGCCATGTGGTATTCAAATTAATTTCTCAAAATACCGAAAAACCGGTGGCTAATCGCAGTGGAAGTAGGGCAGACACATTCGGTAATCCAGGTCTCTACAATGCTCATTATCCACTCAAACTGACAACAGATTTTTCACATTTTTGTTTAAATTTGGTGTAAGAATGCTCATTAATATCACTAAAAAAGCATGTCGTATTCGTGCAGAAATTCAAGGTTTTTGTGAATGCCTGGAGAGGATGTACGATGCAGATAATCTCCCGCTACTATGGCTGAGGTATTCCGAAGTAGTTTGCGCCACTTTACAGTCGTTAAGTAGATGCTAAGTCGGCGAATTTAAAAGTAAGCGGGACGATTGGTGCGTGGGAGGGATAAGCTGTCTACGCATGAATCAACCACCTGGCATGTTGATTCCTGCAAAGCTGACCATCTACACTGATGGAGGGAATAGCCCTTTTGAACAGTACCCAGGAGGGCAACCAAGCGGGAGTTAAAACGTATTTGCTAAAGTGAATTACTTTCAACTAGCAGATTAACTAAATGACGACAAACCCGTCATATCATTGCTACTTTTAATAACTAAGTTGTGCAGCTTTCCCAATCTCTCGTTTGCTATAATTAAGAAAAGTTACAAGGGTACATTCCGATAAGCTGAGGAATGTTGGGTTTGTTCTCTGTTGGGATGTCATTGTTTCTCAGAGTGTAGGTTGGGTGTTAAGAGCCTGTACCCCTGTTCCTTCGCTGAGTGAGTTCTACACGCCATGCAATGCATTGACAGGGTCGGCAAAACCGATTTCACGCAATGGATACCTAGACGGACTCAACGACAATGAGGATGGACATGAGTAGACGGCAGAGCACGGATAGGGGACCATTGAAATTAATGCGAACTTTCCCGCATAAGGGGGAGTGTACATTTACGCAAACATACAAATTTATCAACAGACATCGATGCGCCCAATCAGCACTTCCACAAAGCCTAATAGAATTGGTCTCAACTACAAAACCTTAACAAAGCTGCCTGACGTGTAATGGAGTGGTGACCCCTGACGGGTATGGGTAAACTTACCTCATGGGCAACTTCCATATATGCAAAGTCTTCATTGAATTGGTGCCTAAGCACCCTCACATGGGTGTCACACAAATGGAGACACAAATTCGAGGCAAATATTATTCTGAAGTCGATTGTCAATCGTCTGTCGGCTAGAAAAAGCAGTCACTTAGGGACTTGTGCCGTCCCACAGTTAAACAGTTACCCAATTCAATCAATCGGAGAGGTTGGTTAGGCACCATCATTTACGCCACTCTCTCCAATTCATTCCTGTTCCTATCGTTTGTTGTTTCACCATATTATGAGGTCGGTTTCTGTAGGGTTCTGTGAGGTTTTGTTAATGAAAATTACTGGGAATGATTCGGTTTTTACTTAACCGTAGCTGTCTGATCCTTGATTCTGCCCTCCAACAGGTTCTCTTCGCGACAGAGGCCTTTT